TACCTGCACCGAAATCGGATACAATTTTAACAACGATTACTAAACGCACTGGTAAAAATCTAAAACCATTTACCATTTATAAGATAGAGATTGCCATAAGAAGAATCTAAAATATTTCTCGCTATTATTTTGTAATTTCTGCCAATATCGAAGAATCTATTCTAAGTTCGAAACAATTGACAATAATCATTGAACGCCATGGTAAAGACACGAAAAGATCCATCGCTCTTATTTTAGGAAAAGCTCGACGGTTCTATGTGCGATAATAAAAATCTCGTAAATCTGACAGTTGAATTTTATAATTTATGATGAAGCTCAGGGTTTCCGTGGCACGTTTTCTAAATTGATTTGTTTCCGGAGTGCTTGAGAATGATTGTCGTGGTCCAGGACGGTTCGCGTGCCCATTCACATACGTTTCTGATAAATCTAATCATGTTGCGGGGAATGGGCAGTAAAAAGCAACGAGAGGCGTCTTATTGCGGGCGTAGGACTTGTTCTCTCCTGTATTTAGCCGTGGGTATCTGCTTCGTAGATTAGGAACGAAGGGGATAGTAACGGTGACCGATAAATTTTCTGGCGACTGTCTCTTACTTGTAATTAAACGCACAATTTAAACGGGCCGTTAACGTCACCATGCCTAAACCAAAGTGTCTTCTCCTGGTAAGTGTTCTTAGAAACCTGGCCTAATACCGGGATCAATTGGACGGTGTAACGGGCCGTGTAGACGAGCTGTTGCTACCGCTAATTTCGCCACGTTAATTCTTTCAGGACATCGATCTAAAGAAATCTTTGCATTCGTCCAAGACCAGCTTTTCCAATGAGGTAATCATTACTTCCTGATTTCGTAAAACCTTAGGTAACGCATGACTTAATTTCTGAAACCTTTCACTACGACTTCAATAAAATTCTATTAGATCATCCATCGTACAACAATACCAAGAAAAATGTAAAAATGTCTGATACCATCTAAGAATGCTTGGACGCTTGGAAATGCTTAGGTTCAGATGGTGGAAATGGCGACAGGAATCACGGATTGGAAATGGAAAGGAGAACCAATCGTGTGTCTCTGACATTCGGCGATAATGGACTCTGTCAGCGATTTATCATAGAAGAAAAAAGAAATACACGATTTCATTAGGCATGCATATAAACGAAACACTCTCCTAATTACAGCATTGTGGCAACCCATGCCACGTACCAGTCGAACATCTGCGATCCATCGTGACGGATAAATCACCTTGGGACCACCCTCCAATCGCGTCTCGACCATCGCCTTGCATATAGACAGTTACTAATGAGCCAACCCCATTTAATTAACCGTATATAGCTTCGACACAACTGCCAGACTATTTCCCGGTTAGCACACCACGCGTTATCGTTCTCTTCCAATGCAGCCCTTCTTTCAGGCTTGATACCCGAATGAATTCTTGCGTTCTCGCATCTGTTCAGTAATTTTTAATCATTCATGCGGCACCGTGATACGAGAATATTACGATTTATTGCTTTACAGTGGAACGTGTAGTGGATATAGTGGAACTAATAAATGAGACAACCAGTTTTCATTGTCAATTTTACTTGTAGGTAATAAGATAGCAGAGAATAAAATGTTTTCGACAAATGTGAAATGAAAAAGTAAATATAATTGTGCTCGAGAATGATTAACTTTCGTATTTTCTTCAGAGAAAATATTCGAG